CCTAAGAAAAACCCTACACAGCTTGTAGACAGATGTCCAATGGTGATGAGTACCAAACATCAGTCTCCAGACCTTCCAATAAGCAACCCTTTACAGAGGATCACCCGCCTTAAAGGTAAGGCACGTGTACTGTATGTGTCGAATAATCCCCTTAGGTCTTAATTCACAAAGCGGATTTTTTTCTTGTTCTGATGTTACTTTCTTGATGACACACCTCATCTACCTCATATTTCTATACAAAAGGAACCATAACATTTTCTTTAGACTGCATTGTATGTAGTGTTTTGTTTCCACTACTACTACTGTTATATTACTGCCCGTTTTATATTTTCAGTCCTCAGGAAAAAAATCTTGTGAAAGTCCATTCACAACACAGGTTATTACCCCCTTAAAAAACTCCAGCTTCAGGGTGGTAAAAACTGGCAGATTCAATAGCTGACTATGGAGGAGAGCAGAAAAAAGATATCTGAGGTGGTGATAAATAACAATTTATGAGAAAATAGTGCTTTCTACGGATAAATGTTCATTTCATGTGAAAAACTAAGGATGGCACATTTATGACATTTATGATTGTGAATAAAACATTTGTAGGGGAGAATTATCATAAGATAATATACGTATGTCTGTGAAGGTTCTCATTCATCAAGGTCATGGTATATCTGTAAAAAATAGGTCAAGGCAACTGGACTTGCTGTATTTTTCTTGAAACGTCTTTCAGTGAAACGTCTTTCAGTGAAACGTCTTTAAGAAAAATACAGCAAGTCCAGTTGCCTTGACTTATTTTTTACAGATATAATATACGTAGTGATGTTTTAAATCATTCATCTTAGTGGATTGAGCCTATAGTGTTCAAATGGTAAATGTAACAAGTGCACTGGATCAGCTGCCAGTTTACCGGAAAGGTTCTTGTGGCCAGCAAGCACCCTGTCCGTCTAGATCTTCCTCTAAGCAGCCCTCACTGCTTCTTGTGACTCATTTAGAGATCGCCCGTGATAGGTCAGCCTTAGACATATAAGAACAGGGTGTAAGTGGTGCCAGTCAGGTTCTGAGGAAGGGGCAGAAACATGTAAACCGAGACCACACAGGGGCAGTGGACAATGATGCTGCACATCTTTTCAGACTTCCGCTGCTAGATGATTTGACATCCCATTGTTTTCTACATGCCTTTTTACTACCGACTTCTTGTAAGTACAATACAGTTGTGCGTTTTTATCAACTCCTGTAAGGAGTGTATTCCACTACAAAACTTGGTGTCATCTGCAAACACAGAAATAGTACTTTTAATCCCCAATTCTATGTCATTTATAAATAGGTTAAACAGTAAGGGACCCAACACTGAACCTTGGGGAACACCACTAACAACCTCAGACCATTCAGAGTACGAATCATTGATCACCACTCTCTGAATACGGTCTTTAAGCCACTTTTCTATCCAATTACAGATTGAATACTCTATACCTACTGACCTTAACTTATACATTAGCCGCATGTGGGGAACTGTGTCAAACACTTTTGCAAAGTCCAGGTATACTATATCCACCGGCATTCCTCTGTCCAATTTGTTACTCACTTCCTCATAAAAAGAAAGTAGGTTTGTTTGACAACTTCTGTCTTTTGTGAATCCGTGCTGACTATCGCTTATGATATTATTTTCAAGCAAAAACAATTGCATGTGATCCTTGATCAAACTTTCAAGTATCTTCCCAACTATTGAGGTTAAACTTACAGGTCTGTAATTACTTGGTAAAGACTTTGATCCCTTTTTAAATATAGGCACCACATTGGCTTTGCACCAATCCATCGGTACCAAGCCAGTCGTTAGAGAGTCTCTAAAAATTAGATACAATGGCTTTGAAATGACACAGCTCAATTCTTTGAGGACCCGTGGGTGCAAGCCATCTGGTCCAGGTGCTTTGTTCACCTTAATTTTGTCTATCTGTTTCTGGACCATATCAATAGTCAGTTTTTAAACGCTCTTTTCTTATTGTTTATGGCTTTTTTAACATTGGATGTCAGCCACATGGGTTTTACTTTTAGCCTTTTAAACGTATTGCTTACTGGAATATATTTTACCGTATGGTTGCAAACAATTGTTTTGAAGCATTCCCTTTGTTTGCAACCATACGGCAAAATATATTCCAGTAAGCAATAATTATACGTGATTCCTATAGAAGACCCACCAATTTTGCTCCTGCTTGCTCATCACTGCACAACCGGCGCTCACAATCGGGGATTTTACACGAAAATTGCCTTCATACTCTGCACCTGTGGCAGATTCAGGTTATACCTATGGGGGTGAATGTAGGTGAATCTGTGCAGGCGAATGTGCTGAGATTTTCCTGCTTATTTTAAATATTCCCCCTTGTGTTATTTGGAAGATTCAACATAACTGATTACTATGAGCAACATAAGCAATTTTTTTAGGCTCCATTCACACATAGCGGTAGTGTTTTCTGCATGTTTTTTTGCATGGAAAACTGCACAGCAAGAAATGGCGCAAACGTTAACACACATGCGGATTCTGCGCGTTTGCGGCTATTACAATAGCCGAAACGTGTGGAATCCGCCCATAAAACTGTGCTAGGACTATTTTGCGGGACGCGCGGTTTTGTACCACGCAGCCGCCGCAATAGTCTGAACTTTGCACATTACATTGCGTTGTTTTTTTATGTTTGGCGCGGTTGGCCCATACGAATACGCGCGAAAAACTGCTCATGTCTGAATGGAGCCTTCGTGTGTCTATATTAGTGATAGGCGGACTGATTAGATATTAGATTAGATATTTCATCAGTGAAACTTCACACCAGCTGAAACTCAATTTTTGCTTGTTGAGTTGCCTAAGGCTCCATTCACACCTGAGTGGCTGTCTGCGCCAGGGGCGGATCCAGAGTCTATTCTCGGGAGGGGCACTGCCAGAAAATTAGGTTTTGCTTACAGAACGGTTAATTTTTTATTTAAGACGGTTTCCCGGCCAACCACAATTAAGCCGGCCAAACAACATGCAGCCGGCTTCCCTGGCAATTAGGAAGCCGGGCGGCATGTCATTACCCGCTGCCAGCTTCCTGATTACCCGGGAAGCCTGCTCCATGCCAGTGGAAGCACCGGTATTGGTATTCGGTATCGGTGCGTACCAAAAGCAAAATATCGGTACTCGTACTTGTTACCGAAAAACCGGCATTGGTGCATCCCTAGTTTTGATTAAAACTATTTTTTTGTATTGGGACAAGTAGATTGTCATGAAGGGCAAGTAGATCCGGCCCCCGCTTTAGCCCTTGGACAAGTCGTTTTTTAAAAAAAAATTCCACACCCATGATTACACAACAATGCAGAATACCATCAGCTATAGAGGACTACAAATCCCAGCAATAATACATTATACATCAATGAAGACTGCCAACAGCTATAGAGAACTACAATTCCCAGCAATACCATTATACAGCAATGCAGAATAGGTTCAGCAATAGAGGACTACAATTCCCAGCAATATCATTATACAGCAATGCAGAATAGCATCAGCAATAGAGGACTACAAATCCCAGCAATACCATTATACAACAATGCAGAATAGCATCAGCAATAGAGGACTACAAATCCCAGCAATACCATTATACAGCAATGCAGAATAGCATCAGCAGTAGAGGACTACAAATTCCAGCAATGCATATTACAGCAATGCAGAATAATATGAAGCTCTGGGTTCGCCGCCTGATGCCACCAGGGTCTCAGGAGGGTTGTGCGGGCTCTCACCAGGGGTCCAGAGAGTTTCACAGGTGCGTGTGGGTGCAGCAGAGGCTGCTCCCTAATTAGGCTCTCAGGTGGCCAATGCAGACTGTCAGGTGATCAGTGCAGGCTCTCTGCTGGTCAGTGCGCTCCCTAGTGTAGGCTGACCATTCATCCCTGATTTCTGGGGACAGCCCCCAGATTGAAGAGACCATCCGCTACGAATCCACTCGTCCCCGAAATAGTCCAAGCGCGATAATACGGCGCTGTGTGTGGATGCAGCCTTAATGGAGTTTGCATGGGATAAAAAAAAAATCTACTTTTTTTCTCATTTGAGTTGGAGTTTCTGTTTTTTAAATGTTTTTAGGGTATTTTAGTTTATTTCATTAAGATTTTTTGTATTTGTTTTTTCCTTTTTTGTGCATTCGATTGTCATCTGCGTACATTTTTCATTTTACTTTTATTTTGCTGTATGTTTTTTTTCATTCTGTGAAAAAACATAAAACCATAATGGCTATTGCGGGCCTTTTTGTCACAAAAAGCAGGTCCATGGTAGTTAAAAGGAGATTTTGTAACCTTCAGGAGAAATCTAAAGCCCACTGCACTTTTTAAAAAATCACTAAAAATCGCCTTCCCCATAGACTTCAATGTATTTTTCCAAAAATGATTTTTGCCAAAATGTTGATGAAATTAAAACTCTGCATTTTGCTCACCCTATTCCATATTAATTCTGCAGCTAAGTAGGTATCTCTCTCTTTGTGCTTCTCTTTTTTTTTTTGTTCTTTTCTTTTTTGTGCATTTGATTGTCATGTGTGTACTGTTGATTTAATTTTTCATTTTACTTTCACTGTATGCTTTTTCATGCTGTGAAAACACATAAAACCATAATGGCTACTAATGGGCCCTTTTGGCATACGAACAAGTCCAGAATAGATGAAAAAAGCCTTTGTTACCCTCCAGAGCGATTTGAAGCCCACTGCACCCTTTAAAAGCAATATAATTCACATTCCCCATAGACTCCAATGTATTTCTCTAAAAATGATTTTTGCTAAAATGTTGATAAAAGGAAGACTCTGTATTTTGCTCGCCCTATTCTGTATTACTGCTGCAGCTGAGTAGGCATCTCTCTCTCTCTCCCCCTTCTTTGTTCCAGCTCACTCATTCCATATTTCAGAGGACAGTGTCACTGCTAGCAATGCTCTTCACACAGGATGGCCACTAAACAGACCGACTGCATCCACAGTCCTGACCTGATTGTCAGCAGGACATGACTCCTGGCTCAGTGCTGGAATGTCCAAGGTGTCAGTACAGAAGTGGTTAATGGACGATCTGTGTGCTGAGCTCTTTGTTGGATTGTCTTTGCTGCTGATGTAGACAGTGATGGTGTTAAGAAGATTTCATCCTGTGTGGAAGCTGATTGTCTGGGGATCTGGGTTGGTTGGTCTTCAGTGGCACAGAAAAACAATGTTCTCCATAGCATAAATATTCTGCCTGCATGTGTACTGACAACCCCCAATCTTGGCTGTCTGATATACGGGAGTATTCTGCGGACCAGTGACTTGCAATGAGCACAGCATTGCAAATTTATTGCATATGGAACCAGACAGCGAACTGACAAAACTGCCCACTGGCATACAGTGCCAACATAGTCTGAGTAGTAACATATTGCAAGAGGTAGGTAATAACCTACAGATTTAATGTGTTTGGCAATAGAAGTTCATCATTATTAAAACGCTGATCCTGACATTCAATGCACTATTTGTTCATTATATGTACACATGCTTCTTAAATACTGCATATTACGGTTACTGGCAGGTAATGAGTGATTGCAGTATATCATTTAGCACTGATGAAGAATACAATTGCTTTTTATGAAGCCTGCAGCAGAGATGAGGTTAAAGCTGCCATCATATTGACTACGGGTTGTACAGCGACCTCTAGTGGTTGAAAAGAAGACACACAGGCTGCCCTTTGCAATCGGATTGATTACTGTCATCCTGTGTGTTGGCTGTGTAGTAAATGGGGTTGTTTTTATTGTTTACTAAAAGAGAAGACTGTTTGTTATTAAAATAAGAAGTCTTCAACTGATCATGAAAAGAAATGCTTTTTTGTTTTTTTCTTGAATCAGTATGGTGACACACAAGACACAAAGACGCACATCCATAGTGTCACCTCCATGTACATGGCAGAAGCTTATAAGACTATACTTGTTAAAACAATAATCAGTCAGAAGACTATTGTAATAGTTCAGTGTAATCAGACTAATAAGAAATTATTTATTATTGCTTTCTATATGTTCATATATATGTGTACAACATTTTTATGAGTATATAAATATATTCTCATATGTGTGTGTGTGTGTATACACACACACACACACACACACACACACACACACACACACACACACACACACACACACACACACTGATGTGTGTGATGATTGTCCTTCTGGAACTTTGTCCCATCTCCACACAGGATCTCTGAATACCTTCTGAATGCACTGTATATAGACAGCTAAAGTTATATGGAAATCTTGATTGACATGTACACCACACAACTTTTTGACAATTCCTTTATTTAAAAAAAATCTTTTAAAATGTCCTACAAAGTAATTCCTGGCTAATGCTCCACTCACTGCCTTCTGTCAATCAGCAGAGAAGCAGACCTCAAAGAGAACTTTCTCTCTCAGGTCTGCTCCTCTGTGGACTGACAGAAGGCACTGGGAGGCAGCCATTCTGTATTAGGCTATTTAAAATTGAAATAGCCAATAGCAGGCTTGCTGTTGCCCTACCTCCTGCCTGATGTCAATCAGCAGAGGAGCAGACCTGAGAAAGTTCTCTCTCAGGTCCGCCCCTTTGTGACTGACATCAGGCAGTGAGAAGGTGCTCTAGCCAGCCTGCTATTGGCTATTTCAATTTTAAATAGCCAATAACAGGATTTGTTTATTTCTGCCCAATCCTTTATTTGAACAAAAAACACAAACACAAGTTTGTGACAATACCTTTTATTTAAAAATAACCCACAAAGTAATTTCAGTGTCGGCTGACAAATTTGTCGGCCGATGCTGAAATGACTTTGTGGGACATTTAAACAAATTATTTTTAAATGAAAGGAATTGTCAAAAACTTGTGTTTGTATTTTTTTGTATAAATAAAGGATTGATGTGTTTATTTACATTTTTATTTACATTTCATTTAACCCTTTGGTGAATGAGTAAGGGTACAAAAAACCCTTACTCATTCACAAGGGGGGGGGGCAGCACCCTGTATGAAAGAGGGTACCCAGATGCAGATGAGCCCAGGGGGTCCCCTCCCGGAATAGCACCCTCCCAATGCTGAGGGCCTGCCAGGCTGCTGCCCAGATTAAGGGTCTGGTAAGGGATTTTAGGGGGGACCCTACTTTTGTTTTCATTTTTTTGGGGCTTTGGGGTTCCCCTTAAAATTCCTACCAGACCTAAAGGGCCTGGTATAAATTGCCAGGGGATCCGCATGCTGGCTTTTTTGTTTTGTTTTTTACATCGGGGTCCCTGCTAACATTCCTACTGAACCTAAACAGGCTGGTATCAATTTTTGGTGGAATTTGGGTTTTAGGTTTTTTTTCGTTTTTGCGGAGTGTCAAAAGTAAACATTTAATGTCACTTTCTGCAACTAATTTACATTCATAATGATCATTTAACTCATCCGAAATTAATGAAAATTCAGATTCATCCGAATTCGAATGCCGAAAAAAATTGACTTTCAGACCCGAATCCCGAAAAACGAAATAACGAAACATCCGAAACAAAGCTTAACACATTTTTTGCCTGCTTACATGTCTACTCTTGACTTTTCACTGTAGGTCGAGCTTGACCCCACCCTTTCATGTCCCAAGCCTTTCTGTAAGCCCTATAATGTGAAAGCTTGACTTCTATAGAAAAAATGTGTGTATGACCCTAAATCTACCCATCTATTTGATACACTAATGATAAACTCTGCTAATGCATTTACCCAGCTTTGTGTCACCTTCAATTTAATGGATAAGTGTTGACAAGCTTTTCCGAAAGCTTTGTTACATTTTATTCAAGTGCTTTATGTGTGTTCTATAACCGTTTGTTTGCATACATTTTGAGGCTTTTATATTATTTGCTGTAAAATATCTTTTTAGCCAGCCTGCTATTGGCTATTTCAATTTTAAATAGCCAATAACAGGATTTGTTTATTTCTGCCCAATCCTTTATTTAATTTCTCGGTTTATCTACCGAGAAATTAAATGGCTATGAAAAGGAGATACCTGGTGTTCCTAAGTCCATGCTGCAGTTCTCTTACCAGTAAAGCACTGTGTCTGTACAATCTGCTAAGCTGCATTAGCTCAGCATAAAAGAGATTTATCTGCAACTATTACCTGAGCATGTCAGAGGCCTTACAGCCTGAAAGCGAATCTGTGCTTTGCTCTTAAAGGACGAAGCAACAGGTTCACTTTAATTTTGACCCCCACCAACAGCACATACTCAATGATCCTTCACTTCCCCTTTACTATCCTGCTGCTGTGTTCACTGCTGGAAGTATACTTAGTCCTTCTGGGTATTAGGGAGCAGGTAACTTACTCCTTCTTACATGACAGTACTGATGCTTGGTGATTGGCCACTGAGACACCCAGTGCTGTCACATGGGGCAGGGATATAGTCCCTAGCCCTGGACTTGGAGCTTACACGGTTTTTTTTCTTATTGCTCCTGGAGGTCAAAGGGAGGGGGGGGAGGGGGTTGGGCGGCAAGAAATAAGAAGCTTGTGGGACCACCATTGAGGTAAATCTGTCACTTCAACTTGCATGGGAAATTTTAGAAGAAAACCTGTTTAGGTCTGCAAGATAGTGGCAGAAGTTCACCTTCCAGCAGAATGATCACTCAACTCAACTGAAGCTGTACTGGAGTAGTTTACAACCAAGAACCTGAATGTCTTAGAAAGACCTAGTTGCAGGGATAGAGCATTTTTGCACAGAAGAACAGGCAAAAACATAAGACTCCAGATGTGCAAAGATGATAACTTACCCCAAAAGATCTGCAGCTGTAAAATTATTCAAGGATAGATATCTAAGCACCAAGTCCAAGCACTGCAAAGTAAAGGTTAAATCCTACACCCACAAAGAAAAGTACAAAACCAAGCCCAGCGTGAGTAAAGTGTAAATACGTCACTTATTGTTTGACATCGATTCTATTGGTCAAGTCTAGTTTAAAATTTAGATATTTTTCTGTTTCTAACTGGACTCAATAAAGACAACCCAGAATTTAAAGCGCTGCGTAAATTGTCAGCACTATATAAATACCAAGAATAAATAAATAAATACGGTGATACCATTAGTGACAATTCATATTCCACTTCAAAGTTATTTATGTACACAGTTGCCAGTAAAACACATCATGGGTCTCTTCCAAGAAAGAAAAGCACATCAGCCAAATCATTGATGCACTTATCTCTCTCATTAAAATCATTTGTCATCTTTAAGTTAAAGGCCCTTGTCATACCTCTTGAAATAGGAACTCTATGTATGATTTTTTAAATTTTTTGGATGAAGTGAGGAAAGGTTAGAACGTTTTATACGTTTTTTTTGTGGGGCCCCTAATGGGAGTATATCCACTCACTTCACGTGCTAGTGACACACAGGACAATGCTGTGAGCAGAACTTCCTGTTTTCTCTCTATAGAGTACATTCTCCACATATTCCTGTGGACATTCTGCTAGGGAGACAATGATTCTGTCCCCAACCCTTAGTAGATTCTCCACAGCAATACGGTGTTTAACATGAGTTTTTACACCCTCTAACTTGTCTGCATTTTCTTTTGATACAACCTGGAATTAAATGAATTCAATTGAGACTTTATGTCACCGATGTGCACAAAATAGTCCATAATGTCTGCGTGGAAAAAATAAAATAAATATAGTTTTGCAAATTAAAAAGTCTATCCATAAGTATTCACTCGTTTTGCTGAAACCTCTAAATAAGCTTTGGTGCTCTTTTGCTTTTAGAAGTCATAATTCATTTGATTGAGTTATTCTATGTAGGTGCCAAATGATTTTGGAGTAAACAAACTGGAAGGAGTCAGGGTTTGTTAGAGAACATATTTCCAAACAAAGAGCATCATAAAAGGAAAAATACGGATGAGGGCTGGGTTCCAAAAAATAAATATCCATCCCATCTTAATATTTCCCAGTGCACCGTTAAATCCATTATTAAAAAAACGGAGAGAAGGCTATCCACCAACACTCAGTGACCGGTTAAGTAGTGCATAAGTTAGAGAAGCAATCAAGTGGCCAATGTTAACTCTGCAGGAGCTGCAGAGATACTCAGCTGAGATGGAAGAAAAGCATCTATGGACAACTATAACAGAACAAAAAAACAAAAACAAGGGGCCCCCTTTGTTTTTGTTTTTTCATTAGATATCACAGTCTCCCTGGCTGATGTGGGGCAGCGGCCTGTAGAACTTCTGCATGTACATTTGTTCAGTGGAGTGGTCATCTCTGGCACTATTGGTTTTTATTTTCGTTTCACTATAACAGAAGAGTGACAAGCAAAAACCATTTATGGAAAACCACATATCAAATCCCATTTGGAGTTTGTCAAATGCATGTGGGAAACACAGTAGTTATGTGGAAAAACGTCTTTAGTCTAATAAAACCAAAATGTATGTTTTAGATTG